CGGGGCAGGGGCCGTGGTCCCCAGCAGCTCTTCATCCCCATGGCATCCCCATCCTGGAACCCATGACTGCCCAATGCCCTGGGCCACCCATTGCAGCCGCCCCAGCCATGCCCTGTCCTGCCCCAGCCAGGGGCACATGCCAGCACTGGCCAGGGCTTTGCTGGGCATCCCCAGCCTTCCCCGGCTGCCTGTGCTCCCCACAAGACAGGGAGGTGGGGCAGGCAAAGGAATTTTACCTTCTAAATCATCGATGGTTTTCTCCAGCTTCGCCACAGACCGCTCAGCAAACTCTGCTCGGGTCTCTGCCTGCAGGAGCACAGGGGAGACAGGGTGAGTTGCAGATCCACAGGACACAATGGAGGTGTCTTCAAGCAGCATGGACTGCCCTGGACCCCAAACCTGCCCCTCCTGCATCTCATTCCATGAGCTCACACCTGTGCTCATTTGTGGAGCTGGTGAGCACATGTATTTGCCTCCATAGCGGGGTTCAATATTTATTTTGACTCTGTTTTGCGTTATTGGAGGTGTGTTGGCAATGCCCCCATGAAAGGCTCCTGTGCAGCCCACAATAGTCAGGCCACGATGCTGCCTTGTCATTACACTGCGCCCAGGAAGGGCAGCATCTTTAGTGCCCTCCTTGGCAGAGGCATCTGGGCAAAGCACCTTCTTATGGGACATCCTGTTCATCTCAATGTATTGGAAGAGAAGAACCCATCAGAGACCACACGCTTCACCACTCGTGTGCAACCAAGGCTGCACGGATCACTGCTAACCCAGTGTGGCTTGAAGTACAAGTGTGCAGGGCATGAGCTGCAGCCAGCAAATGTACCTCAAGCAGCACACCAGGGACGCTCCCTCGGAGGGCTGCAAGAGGGATTTATGCAGTGCAGCGACAGTGAGGGAAAACAAGAAGGAACCTCTCAGTCGAAGGTCAGGCTGCGCTAATGCTCTGCCTGGCCCAGAGCCCTTCTTCCCAGTCTTTGTGGTAACCTCCAAGTCTTCTTTCAATATAAATCAACCATTGATAAATTAATCTTGTGTCTTTTTTTTTTTTTTACCAAAGGCTGAGCTGTCACTGTAGGAGCTGAGGTGAGTGGTGCCGCAGGAGCAGAGCATGGCACAGGGCTGGGGGATAGTGGGATGGGAAAATGTGTCCCAGTGGGGCTGTGCCTGGGGATCTTCCCCAGGGATATAAGTGTTGGCCCCCAAGAGGGTACAGAGAGACATTCCGAGGGCAGAGAGACCCTATTGGAGCATCCCAGAGTCAAGCACAGGGCATCCTGCCTGCCAGCATCTCTCCTTACCTCCTTCAGTTTTTCCCCTAGAAGCTTGATTTCCTCCTCGTACTTGTCCTCCTTGGTGGAATACTGCAGAGAGAGAGGGCACCTGTAAGCCATGCGGCATGGCTGCGGCTGCAAGTCACCCCGGCCCCCCACCAGGCCCCCCACACGGCTGGCCCCTCTCCCAGCCCCAGCTCAG